CCACGGGACGCGGGGAACTTAAGTTTTCAGTACCTGGAGGGATTACCAGGCCCGGAATCGTTGGAAACGCAGTGGGCGTCTGGTGCAGCGTCGCGACTGGCACACCTTGGTCGTGGTCGGTTACCACGGCTCGCGTTGACGAATCGTCGCACTTGTTCTTAGATGGCGTTCCTGGTTGAAGTGGGGGGAAATCCTTGGATGCCGCCTCGGAATACGATGGCCTGATGGTGCTGGCCACGGTGGCATGCGGGTCCCCACAACGGCGACACGGCAGCGAACAGCCTTTCCCGTCGTGGCCATAAACGCCGCACCTTCCACAAAACGGAGCTGTGCAGTTCATGCGGAAGTGCCCACTGTCTCCACATCGGCGACACATTCGCTGGATGCCTTTATAGTCATAGGTTACTCGATGGCCCGCGACCTTGAAGTAGTTGGGCACCGGTGACGAAGCCTTCATTTCCATGCGGACGTATCGCGTCCCAGTGGTCACGGTTGGGCACGATCCCATGAGTCCTCTGGTGATGTGCAGCACCTTCCCGTAGGGAGAGAGTGCTTGTGCGAGGACTTCGCTGGGTACGCGGCACGGCAGGAACAGGACGGTCACTTGGGTCACTTGGGGTCCCAGGGGTACGATGGCGACGCGCTCTCCTCGGATGATGAGGTGCGACGCGTCTACGATTTGGGCCAGTGCGGCCTCACTGTTGACGGTAACTTGGTAGTTCCGGCCTCCAAAGTGCTGAACGCAGTACACTTCTTCGATTCCTACTATTGAAGACGTCGCGTCAACGACGTCTTCGGGACTAGTCCCCTCGGGGACGACTACGTCGAAGGCTAGCGCCTTCTTCGGGGGCTGGCTTGCCATGACGGGCGTCCGCCAGCCCAGAGACGCCGTGAGACGCTAACGACGACGTGAGACGCTAAGACGCTCCCTATGGCGTGGCTTGGGCGTCCCTCGCAGAACGTAACCACCAGTGGCACATACCCGAAATAGCGGTCCTTACGATTTCGACCTCCAAGGTGGTTGCGGTGGGAGATTTCTTCTGTGCGTTGTTGAACAATAAAAGATAGTGCTCAATGCACATGTTAATGGCTGTTAAGGGGGAATGAGAGACAGGAGCATTCGGCCTTTAGGTAACGCGCACGCTGCAATCCGCATTAGCAGCTATTGGCATGTACATTGAGCACGATCTGACAAAAAAGGGTTGCTACGTTATACTCGCTGGGTGCAACCTCTTAGGTTTTAGAAAGGTTTAACGAGCGTTGGGCCGCATAGCCATGAATACAGTGAACTAGTATATACCGTGAACTCGAGGTGGTTAAAGGTGGGAAGTAAACCCGAAGCGCAAGCCGTAAGAAAGTGTGCATGTGCCACCTCCCGCTTAGTCCTTGAAATGTCCGCTGGATAGCGGTGCTTCTTTATGGAGAATATATGATGAAAAGATGCGAGATGGTGGTACTTGGAGTGCTGAATAGATGGACGAACGGACACACAGACAGATGCATGGATGGACTCATGAACGGACGCAGGCGCGGATGCATGGACGAACGCAGGGACGAACGCACGAACAGACGCACGCACGGATGGGTGGATGGACGCATGGACGATTACACAGACGTACGCAGGAACGGACGGAAGCAAGAACGAATGGACGGACGAATGCTTCGCCCCACTCCCCATCATTCACTCCGTGGATATGCTGCCATTTTTTTTTGTGCGGCATGAAAAAATGCATGGAGCATATAATACGGCTGGGTTTCTCCGACCATCATGCCCAAAAGGCCTTGGTTAAGAGGGCCACTGTGGCGGCTTCGACCTATGGGGTCCCGGACTAGAACCAGTATGTACAGGTCAGAACTGGGCAGTATCAAAGATACATGTATCTTAGATGCTATCTTAAATACTCTTTGGGTATCTTGTATCTGTGTCGCGATACTTCCAGCAAGACGAGTACCAGTATCTGTATTTCCACTACATTGAATAATGTATCGTGCACCTGAAGATACAAGATACTGAGATCGGAACGCTACCATACGAAACATTGAGCGCTGCGTGAATTCCACTTTTCAGGCCAATAGGGGTGGCAGTAAGCCAACTGAACAGAACTAAAGGCACTGGCACTATAGTTTATGTTTGCGCCTGACGCTACCAGTGAGGGCATGCAGGTGCACGATAAGGTGTGCGCCTCCATATTGGTAAAACACATTAACGTGACAGAAGCCACGTGTTATCGACAGGTATTACGGTCGCGTGCTTACTTGTTCTGTGGATCTTTTTTCCGATTTTTCATATGTGAGGCTGCTTATGGTAGAGCTTAACCTAATGGCCTTAGTCCAGTATGTGGTGATTGTTATTGCGCATGTGCAACAGCTGGCCCAAGCACTGCCAGAACGCGCTCACGCGCTAGCGTGTTCGAGCCTGTGCAAGGGCATGACCGCTAAGGAGCTGGATGAAACACTGTGGCCTCACCCGCTCGCTTGCACTCTCTCAGAAATCATGTGATGGCGTCAAAGAATGAGATTCTGGAAACGTGCGATAAACCAACGCGTTGCATCCTAGACAGAACGCACTGGCACGCGCTAGCGTGTTCCGACCTGCGTAAGTGGCTGTGTAAGAGGCTGTAGCCTCCCCCCTTTACAATCCCTCAGCAGTCACGTGATGGCCCAGGGGAACAGAGATTCTGCTGACGCGTGATGAACCAACGTGCTTCCGCGTGGCGTCGCGTGGTGATGAAACCGCGTGGCGTGCTCCAACGAGAGTTCGGGACGAGTAACAGCAACAAAAACTACATTGAACTCTTAACAGGCTACACTTGCGAGGATGCATTAAAGTTAGGCAAGGTGCCCTTGATAAACGGAATTTTAAGTCAACCATGCACTCGTTCGCATGCTACTCATAGTTCTCTTTAGAGGGAGATGATGTAACTTTCAGGAACGAAGCTCATTAGGCCGTGGGTCATTCCCTCCTCCGTATGTAGTATGTAGCCTTGCTCAATAGATGGCGTTGTGTGTATATGTGCTTGGGAATAATAAAACTAGATGGCATGAGTGGTTTTCGCAGGATATCCTCGCATTGAATAATGATGAGTGGGGCGAGTCATCCGTCCGTCAATCAGTGTGTCCAACAATCCATGCGTCCGTGCTTCCGTCCGTCCATCTGTGCGTCCGTGATTCTGTCCGTCTCGCTGTCCTTGCATGCTTCCATCCATCCATCCATCCGTCCGTGCTTCCATCTATTAGTCCGTGCTTCGGTCTGCGCATGCTTCCATCCATGCTGCTGTCCATCCGTCTGTCTGTCTGTCTGTCTGTCTGTCTGTCTGTCTGTCGGTCTGTCTGTCTGTCTGTGCTTTAGTTCATGCATGTGTCCGTCCACCCGTGCTTCCACGTGTGAGCCTGTCCATCCATGTGACCGTGCTTCTCTCCATGCGTCCATCCAAGCGTCGATCAGTACGCCCACACTTTTATCTTCAGTGCCTTTTTCTGTCCATCCGTCTTGGCGCGCGGACGGATGCACATAGACGGACGGTTTTTCCCACTCATCATTCACTCCGTAGATGTGCTGTGATTTTTTTTCTTTGTCATTCCCACACTTCCTTCCAAAAGCTTTATGCCGCTAACGTGTTTTTTCACTGCCTCCAGCATCACAGACACTGTGAGTATTTCTGCTCTTCTACTGGTTTTACACTGCCAACCTGAACAGCTCACTCTTAAACTCAGGACATTGTTATATGTAGACTCATTCTGACGCAATAAAAGCACTAGGATGAAAGGGCAGAGAAAGGGCACAACATGAGCGCTCGCGTGCAGCATTGGGCCATTTCTTGTCCTCATTGTCCTAGCGCTTCTTTTGCGTAAGAATGAACCAGTAGTACCAGCTGGCTTGCCTTTACCTTTTGCTCATAAAATGATGCCTTCATATGACGTTCCACTCTGTTACGAGACGAAAAAGCGACAAATTTTGGTTATTTGAGACGCCATGATTGCGTCACTTGGTGATGTCTTGACGTGATGATGGTCTCAGGCATCACTCATGTTAATGCCACCGACGCCCCCGACGGTCAATTTTCACGTTCGACTAAGCATCTGAATCCTTTCACCTTATAGCGACCCTGAAAAAAACTAAGGAATTGGGATATATTATAATAGTATAATGCGATAGTATAGAAAGTTGGTTGAGTTGGTTTGAGGACAGTCTTGGGAACATCGGTTTCCAAAATAATTGGTTTAGATTGATCAACTGCACTCTGAGAACTCTAACATCATATGTTTCACTGTCATATAGGGAGAAATTCCAAGTTTCATTTTAAAATTTCATCGCGAAGCTCTAAGCACGTGACGTGAAAATTGTCCAAGGGCATTTTTCGCATTTTCGCGACATTGGCTAGGTGAAATGTCCTGAAACTCATTATGCTAGGTCTATGGCATCAACAGATGACAATGTATTCCATGGTAATTGATTAGAAGCTTCTGAGGACCCAGTGGACGCCTTCAAAGTTTAATACGTCATGCTTTTTGGTGCGGAAAACTCAAGGTGGCGTCTCCACCCACATTTTCTTTTCGCGAGCATTCTCGCTTACTAAGCGAGCGTCGTGTCTCGGTAAAAGTGCTGCTTTCGGGATAGTGAAACTGTATTCCACTATTAGGCGAAACATTTTCTTTACTCTTTAGTGTCCCTGTAATCAGCAGTGACAACGCACAGAACACAGCCCTCTGCCATTTCGTTTCCACCGAAATGCGACCACCGCGGCTGCAACATGAGCAAACAGGAGTATCGAACGTATGAAGAAAGCTAGATGCTCCATACTGCGTATTTTATCTTACATATGTTCGTACTGCTTGCTACCACCAGTATTGCGTCGGCCAACACCAACAAATGAAATCCGCGACCGAACGAAACGCTAGGCGCTGAACTTGACAAGACCGTGTGAATGTGATCTGTTTTCTTCGACAGACCTGACCTGCAACGTGTAGTTATATCAGTGAGTTATTTCTGTCTTCCGCAGCGCCATGTCTTTCAAGTCGTCGAAACGGATAATGGGGCACCCGAACATAGTCACTGTACTATTCATAATTGTGATGGCGTCGGTCATTTACTACTCGTCATGGCTCTACTACAACAAACACCGCGATGAATCCACTGAACTACTTCCGCCCACTGTAAAGGAAGCATTGCCACAGAAGGTTAGCCAGAAGCACGAGGCCCCAGTGACCACAACGACTGAAAGGACCACAACAACCACAACAACTACGACAAGTACGTATGCATACGAGAGCACGTAGTGTTACGTCACTGCGTGCAAGCTCTTTTGCTGTTTGGCCCACGTTCGATGTTCTACCAACTGAGCTATGGCGGCTGCCATCTCTCCATTTACTCTATCGACAGTACATACGTGCATTTAAACGTAGAATTGGCCGTAAACACCGCCAGTAGCCATTACTGGCACCACTGACTGCCACTGCCAGGTTGGAATGCACGCATATACCATAGAGTGAATGGAGGGTCGACCGCCACCGTAGCTTAGTCGGTAGAGCAGCAGGCGCGTTATTCGAATTCTTCAGGTTCGTATCTCCCCATGGCAAGTTATCTTTTCGTGCACTCTTGTTTTTTCGCATTTACATTACAAATACTACTAACACCCAACTTTTGTATTTTCCTTACCATTATTGTCAGTTAGGTCTCAATATTATTGGGCCTAACAAAAAAACGAGCCTTTAAGTTTACTAGTCCCGTGAGTACCAGGTGTCACATGGCTATTCATGTAACACTGGTCACGTGGCTGTAATGAGGTGTAGTAAGTCACGTGTAACGCGTCTGTTTAGGTGGGAATATCACGTTTTTTGCCGCGCGACATTTTACTGTCACGTAGCATCGGTGTGATGTGAGGCTATTCATGCGAGTCACTAGCCACGAGACACTAGCCACCTGGCAGCGACATCTCAGTGTATGTGGAGGTAGTGGTAACTATGTCGAGTCGTGCCTACATCTCGCACAGTAAGTGGGACCAAGCTCAGGAATCAGCGTTTGCTCGGTAACTGAAGGCACTCACAGGTGGTTTTGTAGTTAAACGTTTTATGCGAATACTACTGGGATGAGCAACGCGATACCATGCTTGTTCAGTCAGAGGAGGTAAGCCGTGGCATGGTATATTATAATCGCTGACTATAACAAATGGCACGGCTGCCTCTTGTGTATATATTTCACTAAGGGTGTGTTTAAGGTTCTCATGGTTTCTCAGTAAATATAAACTGCAGGTGATCCACTGTGGCACATAGCCGCATACCACGGGCCTTGCTTGGTATGAGGGTGTGTTCCACAGCTGACTGGGGAAGGCTTTGACGACTAACTTTGCAGGCACGTTAAGTTATTCAAACCTTTTATGTATCGCATTCGTCGTACACTCATGTCCTCCTATGTTAATTTTGGTATATATCAGGTTGAAGAGGTGACTACAACAGCACGCGTACAAAGGCTGCTGGATGGATGGATGGATGGATGGATGGATGGATGGATGGATGGATGGATGGATGGATGGATGGATGGATGGATGGATGGATGGATGGATGGATGGATGGATGGATGGATGGATGGATAGATAGATAGATAGATAGATAGATGGATGGATAGATAGATAGATAGCAACAGTAAACGTGTCTTATTTTTTAGGAAATATGCTTCGCATATAGGGCAGCTTTATTAAAAATGATGCATGCTCGTAAGCTGGATGGTATATGAGTGAGACGGTTCAGAAAAAAAAACGGAAATGAGGTGATGTAGTGTCCTGTCATCTTTTCTATCTTTCTCACTTTCAGCACTGTTTGATGTTATGGCTTCACCAGAAGTACGCATAACATACGCTGAGACATGATTCGTCTCTCCATGGTCGCTGTTGTAATACCTCTTTCTTAATTTTTGTGTGAACTTTTACAAAAATGTGAATTGTATCGTTGTTTCGCAGCCATTCCAGCCAAAGACAACACGTGGACGCCCTTCCACAACCGCACGATGAACGACGGGAAAACAGACCTGCCGAGAATCCTGTTCTGGACAAAAATTTATGGCTCGTGGTTTTCGGGTTTGACGGAAGAGGGAGTGGCGGAGCTCGAGTACAAGGGGTGTCCAGATCGCTGCTTCATTGCCAATCACCGAAGCATGCTGAACGTCAGCGACGCCGTTGTCTTCTATGGCCATGATCTAGATCCAGTGAATATGCCCGAAATGAGGGCCCCATTCCAAAAGTGGGTCTACTGGTCCCTAGAACCTCCGTGGCACACTCCCTTGGCCTCGCTCAAGAGCCTAAACAACACGATCAACTGGACCATGACTTACAGGTGGGCGGCAGCGCAAGCGATTGTAAGCTTATTTGTAAGATGAAGATGTGCGGTGTCTTTAGTCGTAGGCCGCCATAGTTCAGTTCTAAAGAGCGTGAGTTGTCACAATGGGCGAGACTGGCGTGCGCGTGCATTGTGGAGACCATAGCATGAACAACGCGCAGCCGAATTATGTCAGTTAACCAATGGTCTCGGACGCTTTTACGGGGTGCGTGTGTGGCCAGGGGTTCTTAGTTTAAGTGCTTTCAATTTTATGACGTTGCTACCCATTTGTTAATTTCACACTTTCTTGATATTTATAAGACAAAACTGGCGTACTTGCGAAATATATTGAAAGCCTCCGCGCGATTCGTGAAGGCTGGAGCGTCCCATTAAAGTTCCATGCCTCCGGTCACATCTCACTGCATTCTTGCGTCAAATATTGCACTTCTCGAATCTCTTCTGGTGTTGCCTTGAGCCTACCACATGTTCCACAAGACCCTTGTATCACACGCATTTTCCGCGTTACTCCGGGGTAGCGAGTAAGCCGAGTCACGCAAATGCTGCTTACCTTATTTTACAGATGAACTCAAATGGTGCGCTTCACTGAATTTCCTCTGTCCGTCAGTGTGCATAAGAAACTTATAGTGCCACCCGATAGACCAGTGGTGCATTGCGCGATTTGAATAATTGAGGTAGGATCCCTGGTATCATGCATGTACTGGCGAAATAAACTAATGATGCTGAAAAAAAAAGAACACACAGAGTTTCACTGAACGAAGGTAGGTCAAACGTGGAGCTTACTTGCACAAATTCACTTAGGAGAGGGCCTAAGGCATGCGCAAGAGTAGAGTTTTTGTGTAGCCTGTGATCAGCAAAAGTTTACTTAATCGGATGATTTGAACGCTTGGGCTCGATGCCAACTGTATCGGGATTTATAAATCTGCCTTATTTCCTCCTCAAACGCAGGTGCACTCAAGCGTGCACCAATGGGCAAGCACTCCAGAGTGGCGTCATAAGCCGAATGAGCTCGCCTTTGTGGAACGGCGACGAGGGTGTGAGCTCGAGTATTTCTTTAGTCGTAGTGGAGATCGGCTTTAGCGCTTCGGTCGTTCACGTAGATCCTATTCAGACATTTTATCTTATATCCGATAGTATACGGCAGTAAAATACACAATGTACCAAGCAACATTTCCATGAAACATTTTTGCAGAAATGTTTGCTTGCGGGTGGCATCGGCACAGAGTCTCCTCTTTTTTTTTAACACAACTGTGTCATGCCGGGGTCCACCTGGCTCCACTGATGTATTTCCGCCATGAACATGGCGTTCCCAAATATACACTCACAGATGCCAGCAAAAAAAAAAACACATTACAGATTCCCCTGTCATCGAAATCGGTATAACACTAAAGTGAAACATGTCTTCAGAGAGGTAGTCAAGCGTTTATTGAGAATTGTTTCGCCACAAAGGTGAATGAATGAATCCTACTGCAATGAGTTGTAATGTCACGCGAAAAATGGCAAGCAGCCCGAACGTTCAGCGCACACCTCAAGAAGAAAGCGCGCATGAAATGACCAATCGCAGGACGAGCGGAAACCAACAACTTTCCCAGCTTGGCACTTAAAGTGGGCTGTTAGAATAAAATGATAGACGCACGAAACGAACAAACAAGTACACACAGAGCGAGAGTGAACTGTCACGTTTCTTCTTTCCTCGTGTGTGAGCAGCGCGCTCCTTCCGTAAACGCGGCCGTAGCTGCTAGCGAAGTGACCTTCGTGCTCTCTTTTTTACCACTGTAACTTGAAAGTAAATGTTTCGCTAGAAGGCCCGAGGAGAGATGATCCGCTAGAGGGCCGGAGGGCATGGACGTGCGTTGAGTGAGCTCTGTGAAATGACCATGTTCTCGCGCAAATAGACAACGGCCTGCTGATAAAGTGCTGTGTGCGTTTTCGGACGTGCTCAGAATCCTGTGGGTACCAATCACAGGACTGTAAGTGGATTTTGCAGGATTCATTGTGCCTTTTTTGTGCCCCGTCGTGCGTCTCGCGATTTCAACCGTTCAGCTTGGCGCCGATGTGGCAGGAGCGGCGTCCGAAGGCTCCAGGCGTCGGCAGTAAAGAGTCTGCGGCATTGCTATGACGATGGAAGTGAGTGTTAACGGTGCAGATTCCGATACAGCAGAATTGGAAAGCTTGGACTACGTGACGAAAGTGCCGAAGCGTGTGGCGCCACTCTAGGAGCGTCAACAAAGAGAACGCAATGGTGCCACCAGGGTGGCATCTGCCAGCGGTGGATGCGGAAAAGAAGACAGGTTGGTGCGGGCCGGCTACAAAGACGACAAGCATGGTGTAAGCGAGAGACCCTTGTATAACGCGGCGGGAGAAAACCTAGCGGAACGGTCTTAAAGGCTCATTCACACCGAAGGCGGCACGGCAAAGTGGAGAAGCGGGATTTCCGAAGTGGCGAGGCGGCGAGTGCGTGAACCTGTTCAGACCGCATGCCTCCTTCGTCCGGCCGCGCGGCTGAAGCGGCGGGCATCTCGCGGTTTTGTACACGTGTCGCTATGACGTGTCGGTGACGTGTCGGTGACGTGTCAGTGCGATTCAGACTGGCACGGTGGATGGACGTGTGTTTTCAGCGCTCCCGGTCGACTGCGCAGATAAGTGGTTTTGCATGTTTTGAGCTTGCTTTTATAATTATTAGGGCAGCAGTTGAAATCGTTGTAGCACTTATTTTGTTGTACGTCTTTTCCGGGGGCCAGTCAGTAAGTATTTACTAGTTTGTGCGTGTGTTTGTTTGTTTTTTTGTGGTTTTTTCCTCTTGCCGCCCCGTGGGAGAGGTGCACGTACATTGAACACGCAAATTTTGTAGTAGAGCTTCAACTTTCTCTTTTTCGTCGGGCAGGGATCGTGTCGTGTTTTGTAATTATTGAGTGAGACAAGTCGTAAGAACAATTAGTGTCATAAAGACATGGTTAAAAAAGCTGTAAAGTGTTCAGGATGCGGGGTGAGTTTGAAAAGGGACCCAAGTGCAGAAGTAAATGGAGAAGAGGCTGACGCGAAGTGTAGGCAATGTGAGGTCGAGGAAAAAATGGAGAAAGTGATAGTTGCCCAGAGTGAACTGCTGATGAGAATCACCGAGCTATAGACTGCGTTGGCGACAGAGCAAGAAAAACGAGGACAATGGGAGAAAGGCTGAAGTCCGCCGAAGAAGCACTAGCGAAGCTGAACAGAGGAGCGGGCTGGGGATAGAACAGTAAGGAAACGGCAACCAGAACGGCGGAGGAGAAAGAGCAAGCAAGTTTGGAAAAAACAGGTTCAGCCAGTTCAATTGTCGCAAGGCCCAGCTTCAGCGAAGTAATGCTGCGGCTGGGAGGGGACAAAGGAGCCGGCGTCACAGGTGCAAGTAACCCCCAGGTGCAGGACGCTCCAGCTGAAAAGTCACATCATGTGATAATCGCCGGGGACTTGAATTTTAATCGATGCACACAAGCAGTCAAAGAGAGGGTAAGAGGTGACAAGAGGGTTGTAGTAGGGGCGTTCCCAGGACGCAAGCTGGATGCAGTCATGAGGCAAGCGAGCGCAAAACTCAAAACTACAGCTGATAGACTAAACCTCGTGATATATTCAGGCGGTGTAAACAATGTCCTAAATGAAGATACGGCAGTATTAGCGACCACAGGGGCGAAAGGGGTCGATGACATGCGCGCCATTCCTCCTCAGATACAAGTAGTGATATGCACGATATCGGAGGTACCGGTGCGTGACGACAACCTACAAAAAGCGGTTGTCAGTGGAAACCTAGAGATATGGCGGATGAGTCGAGAGAAACTTTTTGAGGTGGTGGAAATAAACAGAGAGGTGCATAGGCGGGGTGGTTTTCAACGATACAGAATTCACTTCGATAGGCGGCTAGGTCATGAGGTGGGTTGGTGACTTGCAGGACGTGCAGTAGTTTTTTTTTGGGGGGGGGGGGGTACGCCAGCCCTTCGGGATGCAGGGTTGCTAGTAACGAGGAAAACAATCAGGTAGACTCTTTGACAGGTGGTATGCACAGATACGATTCCAAAGTGGCACCAGTATCTAAGACACGTAGAGTCCGGGGCCGAAATAGACGTAGCCAGAGGCGCCGAGCCAATTCACACATAGGGTATGTTGGAAAAGAAAAGGAATAAACGCGTGCTGGCTAGTACTGCAAAAGAAGAATAAGAAGTTGAAAACAAGAAACGGCGTTCGCTCTAGTTTCTTCGCTGATCGGTAGTTTTCCTTTACATAGTGGGGCCGAAACCCCTCGTGCGGACACGTCTCCTCCATCGCACGACTCGGGGGGACCTTCTACTCGACCGCGTCATTTTTTCGGGCGGCGAGGACTGCAACAAATCGTTCCTGATCGGTGTAGACCGGAGTAGACTTCAACACCGTATCCGATGGATCGCCTCAAGACCAAGCGCTCCGCTCGACGAGCCCAGAACACCAAGCTCCTGCAAGAAGCAAGGTCACTGCTAAGTGACCCTACCGCGGACAAGCCCAAACTCACAGGTATTTATGACCGTTTGTCAGCGAGAGACAACGAGCTTTCGAAGACCAATGATGCGCTCGAGGAGCACGTAGCGGACGAAGAACTCGAAGCTGAGTATGTCGTGGCAGCAGAGTATAACGACAAAGCTATAAGCATGCTCGCTGAGATTCGCTGCAAGATAGACGGTTTGCGACATGGAGACAGTACAGCAGTGGCTGCTCCTCAGAACGCAAACACATCACCTTTTGACGTGCCGACCGCAATTGGCCCAAGGCTGCTGAACCTTGGCATGCCAACATTTAAAGGTGATATACATGAATGGTCGGCTTTCTGGGAGCAGTTTGAGCAAACTGTCCACCTGAACAACGCTTTGTCAACAACGACGAAGTTCTTCTATCTACGTCATTATCTCGCAGGTGAAGCGGCAGCTGCGATATGTGGTTTTCCGACTTCCGAAGCCTGTTATGCAGACGTCATTGCGTTATTGAAGGAACGCTTCGGA